TCACAAGAGCCCACAGGGGAATGCGCATCAACAGGGGCGGGATCCGCACAGTGGGGAGCATTCATTCCTACAATGGACTACTACTCAGCCAGAGACACACGGACCTGTGACCTGCTGCGAAGGGACGGAGTGTGAAGGCGTCATGCTGAGCGAACTAAGTCAAGGACAAAGGGACAAACCGTGCAACCACTTAAATAAAAAGACAAGAAGCGACCAAATCAGAGGTGACAAGGGTGAGAGAGGCAGGGAAAGGAAAGGTTATCGCTATGGAACACACGGTGCTGGTTTCCACATCGATTAGTGGTGGAGATGCATAGCTGATCACGTAAGTGCTGTAAGTTTCGCAACTGTACAAAGGAACTGAAAATGCTGTGTGAGAGATATATTGACAACGACAATAAAATGAGCGGATGTTGGGGGCTGCTTCTGTACAAACACCTCATGAGATTTGGTTCTTTGGTTTGAAGGCTTAGGGTCATGGCTTCATGGGACATGCCCGTCAATTCAGCCTAATAACATGTTTCATGCTCTGCTCTTCCTCCGAGAGAGTGGTACGATGCCTGGGTCCTAGACGCTTGGGAGCGGCCATCCAAGAGACAATCGTTGGGCTCTACTCACCTACCTGGAGCACCAGAGGAAGGAGAGTCAGGAAGAGGAGGAAATGGATGTGTTGGCTCACTGCCTCCATGAACAACGGCCCCCTTTGCCATAAAACCCAAAGAAATGGGTGATGCCTGGCTGCTGTTACTGAATATTTTGATCAAAGATGCTACATCAGAATCCTGAACAAATGGAAGAAGCACATCAGCCTGTGTGATCATGAGGTGTCAATGGGATCGAGTATCAGGAATCAAAGACCCAGAACAAAAACTCTTATCATTGTGAATGAGGGGGATATATACTGTCATCTCCATTAGAATGACAAGGTTGTTTTTTTTAAATGCCCATAAAACAAGAGGCATTGGAAAGGATGTGGAGAAATGGGAGTCTTCATCCATTCCTGGTGGAAATGAAAAGTGGTACCACCACTGTGGAAAAGTTTGGCAATTCCTTAAGAGGTTACACGTGGAATTACCACTTGACCCAGAATCCTAAATAAAGACCTAATAAATGTGACATCAGGAACAGAAACCTGTACACCAGTGGTCACTGCAGCACGAGTCCCAGTAGCCAAAAAGTAGAGACCACCTAAATAGCCATCAACAAAATGTGGCACTTTCCTATTACGAAATATCGGCAAAAAAAGAAATGAGGGCCTGATACATGCCACCACATGAATGAACCTTGAAATCACCAAGCTGAGTGAAATCCAGCCAGTGACAAATGGACAAGTGGTGCAAAATAAGCAAACACAGAAACCCAAGTTGATTCGTTGTCCCCAGAGCTAGGACAGTAGAGGAAAGGGAGGGCTTTTGCTTGGGAGTCACCGAGCGTCTATTAACTGTGGTGGAAAACAGGGAGTCACCGAGCGTCTATTAACTGTGGTGGAAAACAGGGAGTCACCGAGCGTCTATTAACTGTGGTGGAAAACAGAGGTAGGGGTGCATGAAGGGAGGAGTGTAATCAACAGTACTGAACTGTCTATGAAGACTGTTGAATTAGCAAATGGTGCATTGCATACGGTTTCATCTGAAACAATTCAGAGGAGGGGAGGGAGGAGGGAGGGAGGAGGAGGAGGAGGAGGGAGGAAGAGGGGGGATGAGAAAGGGAAGCCCTAAATGACGTTCAGGCTATTCCTAAGAACTCTGAGTAATTGGATATTGGATAATGCCACTGTTCTTTGGTAGGAAACTGTTTTATGATTAGGAAAGAGCAAAGTCCTTGTTCTTAAGAGGCCCACGCTAAACTGTGTCATGATGTCTGAGATTTACTTTCAAATAAATCAGGAAAAAAGACCAAATCTATAAAGAGAAACAAATGAAGGGAAAAAAAGTTAATAATTGATGAAACTAGGGGTGGGGTCTTATATGTGACCATTACACTAGTCTTTCCATTTTACTACAGATTTGTAATTTTTTCAACCACCACAAAAATAGAAAAGAAAAGAAACTTTAAAGGTAGGGGGAACACTGCAACAAAATTTATAGTATGGCACGAAGTTGAAATAAGAGGAAACTGATTGTGGTAACAATTATACAATTCTACTTGTCGAGATTGAAATATGGAATGATATATGTATTAAATCTCAACTAATTTTTTAAAATCACAATAAAAAAAAGTTGTATCTGGCATTACATCCCAATAAAATGGGTTTGGGAAAAAGAAAACAAGATTTACCCTAATCTCAAATATTTAAAAAAAAGAGCTGTGTCTGTCTGTCAGGAGAGAAAAAAATACAATTTCCCAAATAAATAAATGTACTGCTCATAATTCAAATTAGGAAAGGAAGAGTGCGTGTCCTTGACGCCCATTCCCGTCTAGCCTTTGTCTTCGGTGCAAACTCCTCTACTGCTCCGTCCTCGTCCTCTGTCCTCACGGCACTGTTGTGTGAATGCCGTGTATTCAGCTCCCCTTCCGTTCAATAAGAAGGTACCAGGTACATGGTAGACACAGAGAAGACGTGGGAAGCGCGATGCTACATCATGGAAGTTGAAAATAATGTCACGAGACAAAGTGAGTATGAATTGCTGAATGGAAAACCAGTTTATTTGCTCTAGAAACTCTCACTCAAATTTCAATCCAAAACACCCAAACCAAACTCACTGCCATCGAGTCGATGCTGCCTCATAGCCGCCGCGGAGAGGACTACCCGAGACTGTTCGCGGGGAGCGAGCGGCGGCTGGTTTCAAACTGCTGGCCTGGCAGGTCACAGCCCCACTCATAACCACTATGCCATCTGGCCCCTCAACTTTCAATAGAAGGCTTTTTTTAAAAAAAGGTCAATAAGAAGGTGTCCTTTTTTTATACTTTCTGAAGGAACGACCAGACAGAGGAGTTCCGAAACACAGGTAGGAACGCAAGTGGAACCTGCCAGGCTGGAACGGAGGGCAAGGCTGGGCGGAGGAGGCTGGCGACATGGCAGGGAGGGCAGAGCCAGGACAGTCTCAGGGTGAAGTCTGGCTTGGCTGAGTTAGGCGATGGCAGCCACAAGCCCCTTTGAGTTATGCACATCTCTCTTCCGACGCTCTTTTACTAGACTGTGCGCATTTGCAGGAGAGAGAGTACTTGCCCTGTCTCTGAGCCTCGCCCTCCACCCCCGTGATGCTTTGCACAGACCAGGGCCTGAGAGCAGGTGGGTGGTTGCCGGAGAATGAACTACAAGTTGGTGAGTAGGTAGGGTTCACTTTGCTGATAGTAGAAAGAGTTCACAACCTTCCCCATCAGCTGGCTTGGTTTTTCCTATGAAGTTAAAAGCCAGCCCAGGCTAACGAGGCCGATATGTAACCTCATTGTTGCCTTGACTTGTCGAACTGGTTCCGCTTAGTTGCACTGTTTGCCTACTCGGCTGTGAAAGCCCGGCACTCA